GAACAGTAACAACATACACAATGAACTGAAGTATGTGTGTTCATTCAAAGAAAAGTTTTCCTATGAATTAATGTAAGTCATTTCCTATAGCAGTATGTGTCTGTTTCAGAGAGAACTGAGTAGGAGGATGATTCTCTCTACATACTTTTAGGTTGTAAAAGTTTATCTGATCTGGCTGAGGGGTCCTGGTTGCCATGGTAACCAGGTGCCTGGGGTCGTTCCCTATGTCTATTGGTGTCACAGATCGGCCAGACTCAGTCACCTCCCGATCATCACAACGATCCCTCTCACCTGAGCTCTGAGCACCTGTCACCAATCAAGCACCTCGTTACCAGCCTGCATAAAAGCACACACCTCAGACACCCTCACTGTCCGGTCTCGTATACACGTAGAGGACTCAATGACTTTGCTACTGATTACCTTTGAATACTTCTTGCATTACTTACCTCCTGTGTTCCTCCTAGTGTCTCCTCGTCTCCAAGTGTCTCCTGTATCCCCTAGTTCCTGGATCGCTGAGGTGTGTGCTTCCCCCGGATACCTTCCAGCCTCAATCAAGCCAAAGACTCGGATTACTCCACTCTCCATATCCTCTACACGCTCTCACGGACCTTTCCCTCACCGTCACTTCCTCCGGACTCGACACCAGTACTCACTGTGACCTAATAAACCGTTTTGTATATAACTAACCTGTTGTGTCAGACCTCTTCCGTAACAGAAGACCGGACCAACACCGACGGCACAGATGAGTTCCCCCCACGGCATGCACTCAGCTGCGTGGTTCCCCATCCTCGCTCGCCGGGATCTCCCCTTCTACAAGTACGCCAGGGAGTTTTGCAAGCTGGCAGCGGAGACGGCGATGGACGATGCCACACTCAACCAGCTGTTCTGGCTTGGGGCCAACTCCCATCGCCCCTTGGACCTCCCAGACACCACTGGCCTGTGTTGGAGAGAAGGCGTATTCCGGTGTCTGGGGAGTGTCCGGTCCCGAGCCAGAACCAGTCCGCCGCCATCCGTGGCTTCCCCAAGTCAGCCGGTAGTTAGTGTGGCAAGCCGAGAGGACGTTAGTGTGGCAAGCCGAGAGGACGTTAGTGTGGCAAGCCGAGGGGACGATAGTGTGCCAGCCCCAGAGCTCGCTCCAGTGCCGGCTCCAGCCCCAGAGCTCGCTCCAGTCCCAGCTCCTCGAAGGCGCTTTGCTGTGCCTGCTCCTCCAGAGTGCCCTCCAGTGCCAGTACCATGGATGCGCTACCCTGTTCCCCAGTATAGCCCACGAAGGGCTCCCGATTTCTCTTTGGGCCCAGGAAGGACTCCTGGTCCCCAGTTCAGCCCAGGAGGGGCTCCTGATCCCCGGTTCAGCCCAGGAGGGGCTCCTGATCCCCGGTTCAGCCCAGGAGGGGCTCCTGATCCCCGAGTGTAGCCCAGGAGGTGCTCCTGATCCCCGAGTGTAGCCCAGGAGGGGCTCCTGATCCCCAAGTGTAGCCCAGGAGGGACTCCTGATCCCCGAGTGTAGCCCAGGAGGGGCTCCTGTCCCCGAGTCCAGTCCAGGGAGGGCTCCTGTCCCCGAGTCCAGCCCAGGGAGGGCTCCAGATTCCCCGTTAAGCCCAGGGAGGGCTCCAGGCCAACCGATACAGAAAGTGAGCGGCGCCTTTTCCCCCCCGTTTGTTTTTTGGTTTTCTGAAAAAAGTTTTGTTTTTGTTTTTTCCCGTGCGTTTCTCCCTGCCATAATGGAGGAACGAGCACTGTTCATCACAGTGGCTCAAGCGAGCCCAGACCCTATCGTCTTCGCAAGGGCGTTTGTGCCGCTCGCCCTGGCCAGCTCCCTCGAGGGGGAAACCCTTGCGACGCTGTTCTGGATCGGGATGACGTTCCATCATCAAACGGAGCTCCCAGACATGACGACCTCGACTGGAAGGAAGCCCACATACGGTTCCTGGAGCCTCTCAGATCCCAGGGAGGGCTCCTGATCCCCCGTTAAGCCCAGGGAGGGCTCCAGGCCCCGAGTACAGCCCCGTACAGCTCCGCCACGGCTGCCCGAGGCCCCTGCTCCGCCACGGCCTCACGGGTCCCCTGCTCCGCCACGGCCTCACGGGTCCCCAGCTCCGCCACAGCCTCACGAGTCCCCAGATCCGCCACGGCCTCCCGAGGTCCAGGATCCGCCACGGCCTCACGAGTTCCCTGCTTCGCCATGGCAACCTGAACTACCTGCTCCGCCCTGGAGGCCTCCCGGGTCTCCACCCTGTACTAGCCTCCAGGGCGCCCACCCCCCCTCCCCGGTGGAATTGTTACGGCGCGGGACGCGCCTTTCGGGAGGGGGAAGTACTGTCACAGATCGGCTAGACTCAGTCACCTCACAATCATCACAACGATCCCTCTCACCTGAGCTCTGAGCACCTGTCACCAATCAAGCACCTCGTTACTAGCCTGCATAAAAGCACACACCTCAGACACCCTCACTGTCCGGTCTCGTATACACGTAGAGGACTCAATGACTTTGCTACTGATTACCTTTTGAATACTTCTTGCATTACTTACCTCCTGTGTTCCTCCTCGTCTCCTGTATCCCCTAGTTCCTGGATCGCTGAGGTGTGTGCTTCCCCCGGATACCTTCCAGCCTCAATCAAGCCAAAGACTCAAATTACTCCACTCTCCATATCCTCTGCACGCTCTCACGGACCTTTCCCTCACCGTCACTTCCTCCGTTTTGTATATAACTGACCTGTTGTGTCAGACCTCTTCCGTAACAATTGGGTGGGGTCTGTGATTATTTGTTAATCTAATGAATAGTTGATTTGTTAAATCTAATGAAAAATTATGTGTCTGATTGGTCCAAATGCTACAGTTTATATACAGAAGTCTGTCTCATTCTTACATGTTCTAAAACAATTCTCGAAAGCTTGTGCTGAACTGACCAATGAAAGGATGAAAACACAGAAAGTTCTGCCCATTGCTGGGAGCTTATAGGAACCTTCATGCACTTTCTGGAGACTTCGCTAAGATTCTAGTCATAAAAATGAAAAACTTGTTTAACACTCCTATTCGTAGGCTGCATGTAGCCTATATATCATAATCACTGACATTCAGTCATCAATCGTACGTTTTTTTTTATTATTATTTTTACAATAATTAAATAAAATATTGTATAGGCCTAATATTTGATGTCTGTGATAATTGATAATTAATTTTCCAGGTACAATTACTTTACATATCAAATCATCCAGAGCATATGCCTGGAATGACTGACATTCAATCATATTCCCGGTGAAACACTGACGTGTCAAACGTGATTACAAGAAAAATAAATTGAGATCAAATGTTTTCATGAAAGCTACTGTTTGCATAGTTATTCTTAAATGTTAAATATCTTGTTTTTTAAAGCCGTAGTCAATAGAGGGCACTAAATGCACACGAACGAGAGACAATGGTTTCTTTTGTCACATAGGCTACACCTGAAAACGCAAGAGATCATTTATCCATTAGAAAATATGATTTCTTGTAATTTCACAACTTCTAATTGCTTGCATAGCCAGCTTTATATTAGCGATAACTGCCTTGTAAATCTTGCAAAGGTTTTCGATAGCCCTATTTCAAATGGTGTGATGCATATTTATACAGTTTTAAATCTTTCAACCAGTTAATGGCATATCCTGCTGTATTTAACAAGAATGTTACAGACAACAACCTTTCAATTCAGTTTCTTAAAGAAATATGATGGTTTTAATTGCCACGGGGGTACTCTAAGATTTACTCTGGTATGCAGCACTACACCAGAGTTAAAACAAATCTATTGATTTTTAACTTCAAATAATACTCATAAGTTTCAAATAGATAAATGTTCTACCCAAGATGATTTATAAAAGCTGTGCTCATTTCATTTGTTGCATGTAAATGCTTTTTCACCATTCTTGACAGTCCTGGATCTCTCTTGATCTGGTCATTTTAAGTGAAAGGCACATTTACTGCTTGTAAGCAGCCAACTACACGTTTCCCAAAATGATCAAAAGTGGTTTGTAAATAATCATCATCATCATCATCATAATCGGGTTTTAAAAAATTACCAATGTAATTATAGTATTTAAGAATGCATTTACACAGGTATTCTTCTCATCTGAAACAATACATTTAAATATTTAAAGAAATGTTCTCATAAATATGAAAAAAGATGCAATGGCTTAGATCATGATCAAAATAAGTCATTAATGAGTCTTATGCTATAGTAGAAACATTCTTTTATCTTTATATTTAACATTGAATGCACATCACATTAAAGTCACAGCCAGCTCATCATCATAAGCTAAAGAATATAGTATTCTGTGGGAAAATATAAGCTTTTTTTTTCTTCTATTCTGCTGGGAGACTGCAATGTTTACTGTGTGAGGAGAAGAAAGTGTACTTTAAACCTAGTTGGTGTACTTAAGTCTAATGAATGTTTATTTGTGCTTTATTGCCCTTTAGAGCACAAATTCCTTACCTCTTTGATGTAAACAAAAATAAACAGAATATTCTATTGACGTTTCCCTGCAAATTTTCCATGGGTACACAGAAACACACGCTCTGATACAGGACGTAAATGGTAGGGGTAAAAAAAAAGGTCTGTTGCAGGACAGTTACAGTTAGGAGATTTTGGAGTCAAATTAAATCAGATCTTTTACAAATTATGTAGCTACTCAGATACACAAAATTACATTATGAAAATATTATGGGTTAAACAGTTTTATTTTATCTGTATTTTGCATAGCATTTCTCATTTTCTCAGTCCTCTGAATAGCTTTCAGTGAGCACAGCTTCTCTTACTGGAATAACCAAGAAGCAATCTCAAGTTCTGTGTATTACAGCCTCCATATATGACTCAGCCATCAGAGCAACATCCATCCTTGTTTCACTTTTTTACACAACTGTCCAATGTGGCTTCTCCAAAAAGTGCACATCCCTCTTTCTCAGATGTTTTTTTTTCTCCCATTGAAAATCCCCCTTCTCCAACACTCCCTGTCCCCCAACCTACACCCTCTCCCACTGTATCGCGAGAGACTGATTGGGACAGCAGGCAGAGACATATTCATATACCTGCAACAAGAGCAGTTGCAAAACCCTTATGAATAAATAGATACCATATGATTCATCAATACGTTTAGCATCAACGGGGTACAGCTAGACGGAGAGGAATGAATAGTAATTTGAATACTGGCAGACACACTGCCTGCTTAGCAATACAGCCAGCTAGCTAACCAGCAGCTCAAACTTGATCTTTTTTTTTTAGCAGTGCTGGGCTAGCTAGTTAGCACGAGGCTTGTTCAATATACATTTGCACTTAAACTTTTTCGGATTTCACTCACGCCACCGAACAAATTGCGTCTTTTGTGCAAAAAAGGTGAGTTAATTTGACATTTTGTTTCTATTCCATGAGATCGTTAGCAAACTAACTTAGCCAGCGTTTTCATGAGCTAAAGTTAACTGGCTACGTTAGCCCGAGTTAGCTTGGTGTGTTGACATTATCAGCATGAGAGCTTATTATGACAATTAACTTAAACTTCTTTCAGTCAGCTAGTTAAGCGAAGCGTGTTGTAAAGCCTTGTATGGTTTCTTATATCGCTTAATTTTATTGTAATTGCAAATGACAGGCATTCATGCTTGATGTGTTTACAGCTATCTAACTACATTGGCCTTGCGTTACACACTGGCCTGAAGATGGTGAGTTATCACCAGAGCTTATGAGCATCATTTGAGCATCTTCCGCTTATGTAAAACGTCCTAACTGGTTTCGATTAGTTTAGGTTCAAATGCTCAAGAAGCTCCCATTTTTTGGTTGAATGTGGCTCTTTAATAATATAAATGAGAAATTAGCGCTCAGCGAGTTCTTAAGATATCAGGTGTATTGAGTCTCATAACTCATCAACACCCTTCATGAATGACATTTGCATCATTGGAAGTGCTGCAAAGCTTGTGCTTAGATTGATAATGTTCATGAAATGCTTAGTGGGAATTGTTAAAGCCAATTTTCCTTATGTGACATACTTTTTAAGGACACGTTTGTGCTTAAAAACAGAATCTAGGCTTAAACATCTTACTATATTATGAACAGCATTGTAACGATTGTAATGTAAATTTCTATAAAATATAAATGAGCATTGAACACATTTCATTTTTTTTTAAATGACAGGAGTCACATTGGATCAAGAGAGATGTACTGTGAAGTTATTATTATTTATTACATATACTTTGTGTTTTTATAGATAGATAGGGGAAAAAACTCATAATTTATTCATTTTCATGATTTTTCCAAACCTGTATGACTTTCTTATGTGGAATACAAAAAGAGATGTTAAGCAGAAAGACATCCTCAGTCTCCATTCACTTTCATTGCATTATTCTTCTATCCAAGGAAGTAGTCATTCTGCCATATATCTCCTCATACAGGTTTGTAACACCATGATGATGAGTAAATATGATATAATTTTCATTTTTGGGTGAACTATCCCTATAACTGTAATGTTGTTATAATTTCTGTGTTTTAAATAAATTGTGTTTGTTAAGACCACTTTGTTATTTATTTATTTTTTCAAAAATAAAAGTATTAATTTTGTCAATTTTTTTCCTCTATATTTGACTTTTAGGTCACAAATCCCTTCCACAGAATCCTCGCAGAGCCTTAAAACCGGAGATCACCTGAGAACCACCATCAGCTCAGCCTGCTGCTCATGACATGTTTTAGTGTTATTCCCCGAACATATATTTACACATTTTGTGTAGAATGTGAACTATTTTAGAGCACAGACGTTGGCGTTACAAAGTCAAATCATTTTCTTTAAATGGGGGAAAACAAATATCAGTAATTTTCAGGCCATGTTTTCCGGTCAGGTTTTCCAAATTCATGTCTATTGTAAAACCATAGCCTGATGAGCAGATCGCGCGCCCCCCAAACACGCATAGATCACAACGACACTGATGTCTCTGATGATCGGTTGGTCTTAAATTTCTTATTTGTTAGTCATGAACGGCTCCCTCTTAACCCCGCCCAGTCCACGGGCTGCGGCTAATTCGTCTCCCCTTCCACCCTCCCCGTCTCCATCACCTTCTCCTCCATCTCCATCACTGTTGCCCCTCTCCACAAGACCCCCACCACTGCCTCCTCCAACTCCTGCAAGTCAGCCCTTGTCATCGTTATCTGAAACACCAACACCATCTCCGTCTCCCTGCCTTAGCTGGACCGAGTTCTGTGAGCTCCACGCCCGAGTAGCCGCCGGTGACTTTGCCCGGCATTTCCGGGCCTTCTTGCAGGAGAACCCTCATTACTCCCCTGATTCGGCAGCTGCTTTTTGCCGCCGCTTTACCGACAGATTTGTTCGACATTTCGAGAGTGAGCTCGAGGGGACCGGTGTCGGCAGGGAAGGAACGGTGAGCTGGGTTGCCCAACCCGACGTTACATCGCTGGAGGAGGACGCAGCATCTCCGTCCCTGTTGCCACCAGAAGCCACCACCCCATGCCCGCCTACTCACACGCAGGCTGCGCCCAAACTGGTCTCGACCCAGGAGGGCTGCAGCACGGAGCGATTCCAAAGTGCTGGAACATTTCAGGACTCGTATGCTCATTCTCAGATTCTCCCACCATCCTCCTCCTCGTCATGCTCTTCCTCTATGGGCGGGAATAATGGGCGGAGGGAGGAGAGGGGGATAGCGGTCAAACATAACCAACCTGGATACAAAGACCTGGAAGAAGAAGAAGACAGCTGGGTGGGGCCTGTCACCGTAGAGGAGGTGGAGACGGACGTAGTAGGAAGGGACAATGAGGGCGAGGGTGATACGACCTTGGAAAGAGCCGATCTAGGTCAGACTCCGACATGCCCCAATCCCTCTAGCACACCAGCAAACTTTGGGTCAAAAGGCAATGGGACACCCATTGGGGGTCACTCTAAGAATAAACTAAAAAAGCGGTTCTCTTTGCGCAGCGTGGGCCGCAGCGTCCGAGGGAGCGTGCGAGGCATCTTGCACTGGCGCAGCTCCTCCAGTGACTCTCCTCAGAACTGCATCTCGGGTAATTCTGCCCCGCTTCCTTCCAGTTACAGCTACACTACAGGCCTGCAAGACGCCAAGAGGAACTCCGCCTCGCAGGGTGTTCCCACTTCTCTCCCTGTCTCTCTCTCCCTTCCCCTCTCTCTCCCTCACTCTTCGTCCTCTTCATTGCCCCCATCATCCTCCAGTAGCGCCACCTCTCTCTCGCTCTCTGAGGCCCGTGACTGGCGGAGAAGCAATGGGGATGGGGAGAAGGAGAAATGGAGTCACCGGCTGGAGAAACTGCGACTGTCTCGCTCACCGCCGCCGACTCTGTCCGCCGCAGCTCCACCTTCCTCAGCCGTGTCGCCCTCGGCGCTACCACCAAGCAGCATCGGTGCCCCGAGGAAGATGGGCAGGCTGGTACGGGAGGGAGGTGTGACCGTGTGCTCGTCTTTGGACGAGTTTGCCAGCACTCATGGGTTCCCGGGATTTTCCTTTGGACTGCTGCACCACGGCACAGACAGCACAGCGTCAGGACTTCCCACGGCCATGGGAGGAGCTGCAGATGGAAGGGGTATGCGTTGGCACAAGTGCCGTCTAGTTCTGAAAGAACGAGATAAGGATGGAGGGGATGGAGGTTTGGAGTATTTCCTGGAGTTTTACATCCCACCTAAGGTGAGTGAGATTTGTCTTATAGATTTACACATTTTATATATGCACCACCATCGTTCATAAGTTTGAGGTCATGTGATGTTTTAATGTTTTTGAAAATTTCACTGCTGGTCGTATAGTCTCTATATAACCATGTATGTGACAAATAAAAAATCTTGAATCTTGTAATGCTCACCAAGGCTGCATTTACTTGATCATAAATATAGTGAAACATTAATATTGTGAAATATTATATTTTAAAGGGACTGTTTTCTATTTGAATATATTTTGAAATGTAATATATTCCTCCATTAGGAAAGTTGATTTTTTTTTCATAGCAATCATTACTCCAGTCTGCAGTGTCACATGATCCTTCAGAAATCATTATAATATGCTGATTTACTGCTAAAGAAACATTTATTATTATTATAAATGTTGAAAACAGTTGTGCTGCTTAATTTTGTTGTTGAAACTGTGATATCTTTCTTCAGGATTCTTTGATGAATATAAAGTTCAGAAGAAAAGCAGTTATTTGTTCTTTTATAATGTCATAAATACCTTTACTGTCACTTTTGACCAGTTTAATGCGTCCCTGCTGAATAAAATATTAATTTCTTGTAAAAAATCTTACTGACCCAAAACCTTTGAAGAGTAGTGTATGTATATGTATTTAGTCATTTGTATTATTATAGTTTAAGTTATAAATCATTTATTTATTTTGATGTTTTTGAATACTTCTAGTCCTCCAAGCCCAGACTGACTGTCCCATGCTGCTCGATTGTTGATGTGAGGAGCACTACAGCTATAGAGGTGCCAGACAAAGAGAACACCTTCCTTCTACAGGTACTTCAGCACACCTCTATTTTTGTCTTTAGTAGTTAGTCAAATCTGCAATAATGATGTGTGAACTTTACCCTAACTTTACTTTACATATGTAATAAAGATGTTGATGCCACTGTCATCTGCTGTCTCATTAATGGTTGTGCACAAATATGGCATGTTTGATGAGCTTTGTTGATCATTAAATTGCTTTTGTTAAACATCCCTTCTCAGTTTGTTGTATAGATACATTACAAGATGAAAAATGTATGTTGTAAATGACTTAAAACATATTTCATGACTATTGCTTTAGAAATTAAGCTTTTTGTTTGGTGGTTACAAAGCAATAAAGTGTTCACAAGCACTAAATATATTTTTATGCAAATAGAATCTAAAAAAAATCTTTGGTGAATTTTAAATATTTTATTCAAAATTGTGATTGCACGTCACTTTGCATTCAGTTACGTCCTGTGTTGTAACACCCTTCTCAAAGATCCAAATCATTAAAAAATGAACAGGTTGCTTATCCACACATTTGATCTCTTTGTGTTTTCTCAGTTGGAAGGTCAGGTGCAGTACGTGATCGAGACCAGAGATGCGGTTCAGATGAGAGCTTGGCTTAGTGACATCAGAAACGCCATTTGTTTGAGGTAAGTCTTCATGTTTCGAATCATTAAAAGATGAAAGCACAATGTATATTGAAAGGTTATAACAAGATCATACTTAGTAGTTTGCTTGCATGTGTGACAATCAAAACTCAGATCTCAAATGTACTCCTTGACCTTTCTCATCAGTGAGCAAGAGGATGTTGAGGGAGTGTGTGGCAGTGCTCTCACCGACCTCAGTGGTATGCCAGAATTCAATGCCCGCCTGTCTCAAGGTAAGCGTTTGGAGATGATGTCACCATGATGTGGTCAGCTGCATTCAGGACAGTATGTGTAATGGGACATGTGCTTACGTGATGTTTGCCAGTGCTAGAATCAGCCCACAAAACTCAGAGGGGAGCAATTTTGTGTTTAACAGGCTTTAAAAACATCTGATTCTGAATTAAAATATTTATATTTAACTATAAAAATGAATACAAATGTTTATCAGTAACTACAGATGGTGATATACGAGTTATTTGATGTGTTTTCACTATAGTGTGCTATGGTGGAGTTGGTGGTTCTCCCCAGCTGGAGCCTCTACCTCCTGAGTTGCCACCCCGTGCCCCTCTTGATGAATCAGACAGTCGACTGCTTGGTGGGGGCGGAGCTGGTCTTGGCACACCTTTTGCTGAAACTCCTGATGCCACAGGTGCTGTACTGTGCGAAACGCACACACATTTTAGTAGAGACCACGATGACATCTATGTTACTCTAATCCTGTTAATATTTTAATGCATTTGTAAACATTTAATGATTAAATAGGGCACAGAAGTCAGTGTTTCAGTCCAAGTTGCTTGCTTAATTTCTGCGAAAAAACAGGAATATTGAGAAAACAATTTGCTAATAAAACAGAATCCCTGTCCCACATGTTAAACAAAATTACGTAGTTGGCTCCAAAATAAAAATCATTTTAGCCACAAGGAAAGACATTGATGCCATTTCAATAAAGTCAGCATGAAATAAAAATTCACCTATTTATTTTCTAATTCCATCTTTTTTTGATCTTAGTGTGAATGACATCCATGCATGTTTTCTGTTTTTAAGAATTTTTTGACATGGTAATTATTAATCAAAATAACGTGACGTATGCTGTCTGCCATGTTTTTTTTTCCTTTTTCGATAATCCATTGTCTTCTCTAAGCAAATTAATTAGTAGCATGGCTCATCTTTTTTTTTATCCGGTATTGCAAAGTCCAGATAAAAATTCACTATATGGACAAAAATATTGGGACACACCTCTTAATTATAGAATTTAAGTGTTTCAATTAGACCCATTTCCACAGGTGTATAAAATCAAGTACCTAGCCATGCAGTTTGCACAAACATTTGTGAAAAAAATGGGTCGTTCTGAAGAATATTGTGGTACTGTAATGGGATGCCACCTTTGCAATATATTAGTTCATAAAATTTCTTCCCTGCTAGATATTCCATGGTCAGCTGTTAGTGGTATTATTGAAAAGTTTAAGCGTTTAGGAACAGCAGCAGCCATGAAACAGAAGACAACGTAAAGTCATAGAGAGGCGTGCTGAGGTGCATGGTGCGTAAAAGTCACCAACGTTCTGTTGATTTCATAACTGAAGATTTCCAAACGTCCACTGGCATTAATATCAGCACAAAAACTGTGCAGCAGGAGATTCATTGAATGAGTTTACATGGCTGAGCAGCTGCATGAAAGCCTCGCATCACCCAGTACAATGCCAAGCGTCAGATAGAGTAGCATAAAGCATGCTGACACTGGACTCTGGTGCAGTGGAAACCTGTTCTGTGGAGTGACGAATCACGCTTCTCGTTTGTCAATCTAATGGGTAAAGTCTGAATTTGGCAGATACCTGACGGTACCTGAACACTACCTGCCTGACATTGTGCCAACTGTAAAGTCTGGAGGAGGGATAATGGTATGGAGCTGTTTTTGAGAGATTAGGCTAGGCCCCCACACAGAGTCATGACCTTAGCCCAATCGAATACCTTTGAGATTTTGAGCCAGACCTTCTCGTCCAACATCAGCACCTGACCTCACAAATGCTGTACTGGATAAAAGGACAAACAGCCGTTATAGCTGCCATATATTAATGTCTATGTATTTAGAATGCGATATCATTAAAGTCCCTGTTGGTGTAATGGTCAGGTGTCCCAATACAATCTCCATATAGTGTACACAGATGGAATCCCAGCTACTGACATCAATGCTTATCATAGACCAAGATCAGAGGTATTCAGTTTGTTCCTTGTTTTCCACAGGGTCATTCCTGTTCTCTGAAGGTTCTGTTTCAGAGACGGTGGAACATCCTCTGAGTGAGTGTCAGTGGTTCCACGGCACACTGTCCCGTCTTAAGGCGGCCCAGCTGGTGCTGGCGGGCGGCATGGCCAGCCATGGAGTGTTCCTTGTGCGGCAGAGTGAGACAAGGCGTGGGGAGTATGTCCTTACCTTCAACTTTCAGGGCAAAGCAAAGGTAAATGCGAATGGGGGTGTTTATTTACACTACCATTTAAAAGTTTGAAGTCAGTAAGTTGGTTTTTTTTATATGCTCACCAATGCTGAAATGATTTGATTAAAAAGAAAGATATTATGAAATATAATTACAATTTAAAATAACTGTTTTCTATTTGAATACATTTAAATATGTAATTAACTTCAGTGATGGCAAAGCAGAATTTTCAGCAGCCATTACTCCAGATACATGAACTTTCAGAAATCATTCTAATATCCTTATTTGATGAACAGGAAACATTTCTTCTTACCAGTCTTTTTTTGATCAAGTTTGCTTGATAAACTGCTTAATATTTTTAGACGGCAATACTTTTTTTTTTCAGGATTGAATAGAAAAGAAATACGAATAGAAAGTTCAGAAAAACAGCATTTATTTGAAACAGAAATTGTAACATAAAAGTCTTTACTGAGACTGACATGTTTATTAAAGCAATAAGCCCCAAGAAGCCGTGGTTTACAGTGAATTTATAACAGCTAAGGGGCGTTGTTAGGCACGACGCGAAGCGGAGTAAAAACGGTTATTCCATATACGTAGTAAGGTTTCACAAAATAAAACTGAGCAAATAAAGTGTAATGATATTAATAAAAACCATATTCTTCCACCAAACCATGTAGTTCCTCAGAAACCGTTGTGGTTGCAACAAAGTGGTACGTAAACGAAGGTGTATGTTTGTAGAGTAATTTACAACAGTTTCGAACGTGGCTCAACCAATCAGAATCAAGGACCGGAACTATCCGTTTTATAACAATTTAATAGAGGTCTACTGATTAATGTTAATGTTATCAGTCAGTTATCACAGTTGGTAAAATCCACCGGTCCATCTCTACAATTTAATGCACCCTTTCTGAATAAAATTGTTCATTTCAAACTTTTGAGCGGTAGTGTACATCTGATGAGGAGTATATCAGTATGTGTTACGAAACCACTTTATAGAGTAAATATCTCTTCCTTCTGCTCTGGCATCTTTCTTCCAGCACTTGCGTCTCTCCCTGAACGAGGATGGACAGTGTCGTGTGCAGCATCTCTGGTTCCAGTCCATTTTTGACATGCTGGAGCATTTCCGTGTGCACCCCATTCCCCTGGAGTCTGGGGGTGCCTCTGATGTCACTCTCATCAGCTTTGTGGGGGCCACGAATGTCCGGCAACCAGGTATGGAAGGCTGGGCTCAACTTTAAGGCACGAGGGTTTACAGCAGAGCATAGATAACAGGGAAATGCTGCATTTTTAGATGACAGATAATTTGTGAGAGCACAGGCAGGTAAGTGATCACAGGTGCCACTTGCATCTACCTCAGAACAGCTGAATGGATAAAAAATGGATATAAATACACTGACTATATATCCAAGACTTTGTTTATTAGTTTATTTTATATTTTATACACTGAATTATACATGGGGCTTTTAAATATAACACTTGTGATTAAATGTATAACAATGTTACATTTTCTAAAGCAACTGTTAGCATGTATATAATTTGACAATTTAATTTCTGTTCTGAGTGATTTTTGAAAACCCCTTTTTATAAGTTATTCATTTATAAATGAAACCCAGATGATACATTTTGCAAAGGTAAAGTCATTTGCATTCTTAGTATGGTCAAATAAAATTATTATTGATACTCAAGGAGTGAAATATCACCCAAGAGTGAATCTCTGCCATGCATAGAAATGTTAATGCGTACACGAGTCTGCACCTTCACACCACATGTGACATGACATCCATAAACTATGACTCGTTGGTCGTTTTACTGTTGAATTATTATATCATATCATATGCTTGCATTTCCTGTGCATTTTGATACCATTTCAGAAATATTGACTTGTTTTTGTGAGGGAGAGTAGTATGACTGCATTAACTATGACAAAGTGATTGATCACATTACTTTAATCAGTTGACAGCCCTAATTAAGACATAAATATTAAGTTAAACAGCTGTTTTGGGGGAGATCCTGGTGGGCCCATGAAAGGAAAAAAAATAACAAGAAAGATTTCTTTGAAGGCATTCATCTCCTGTCAGTTTGATTGTCTTGAATCCTGGGAAGATTTTAGCGACACAGACAGTCTTTGGCACTGAGCTTGTGTGCGTCATGTGAGTGGGATGAATCTGGAGAGTGATCATATGTGTATTTGTGTATGTGTGTATTCATAAACAACATGGCCACTGCATGAGTTGTTTGCACCTGTCACAGAGATATGACTAAATTTGGGATCACCCTGTGTGCGAGATCACTTCCTGTCACGGCATGCTTTTGAAAGGACACATTGTGCAAGCATCTGCTACGACTACTCGAGCACACACAGATCCATCGCTGCTGCCAGAGTCAGCTGTTGGCTAGCTGTGCATGGCTTAGCTTTTTTTTTTTTTTTTT